CCAGACATTTTTTCATAATCACAAAAAGCTTATTTCTCTCAAATGTTGTGCACAAATGTGTTTACATCCCTGTTAGTGAGCATTTATCCTTTGCCAAGATAATCCATCCACCTGACAGGTGTGGCATATCAAGAAGCTGATTTAACAGCATGATCATTACACAGGTGCACCTTGTGCTGGGGACAATAAAAGGCCACTCTAAAATGTGCCGTTTTGTCACACAACACAATGCCACAGATGTCTCAAGTTTTGAGGGAGCATGCAATTGGCATGCTGACTGCAGGAATGTCCACCAGAGCTGTTGCCAGAGAATTGAATGTTAATTTCTCTACCAACGTCGTTTTAGGGAATTTGGCAGTATGTCCAAACGGCCTCACAACCGCAAACCACGTGTTTGGCATTGTGCGGGCGAGCGGTTTGCTGATGTCAACGTTGTGAACAGAGTGCCCCATGGTGGCGATGGGGTTATGGTACGGGCAGGCATACGCTACGGACAACGAACACAATTGCATTTTATTAACGGCAATTTGAATGCACAGAAATACTGTGATGAGATCCTGAGGCCCATTGCGAGGACCATTTTTTAAAAAGGTATCAATGACCAACAGATGCATATCTGTATTCCAAGTAATGTGAAATCCATAGCTTGGGGCCTAATGAATTAATTTCAATTGACTGATTTCCTCATATGAAATTGTTTCATGTTGCGTTTATATTTTAGTTCAGTATATTTTATGGAAAATAGATGTTGACAGTATTACCGTGCGGCTCAGATTACTGTTCGATTTAAGGGGGGCATGCCTCCCTCACCGGTTTCGGCCTCATACGTGACGGGCCATAGCCCGGTGCAACCCAGGCCAGCTTAATAGAATCCCCTCTGTGCCTCAGCATCAGTTGAGCTCACCCCCTCTAGCTTACTCTTTCTGGTTTTCCAGATGGCCATTTTAACCTGCCCTAACAAGCAGTCCATGAGGCAGTGCCTCTGCCTGTTTGCCACGCTGTACTTGGGCCCCCCAACGTACAGCTGCAGGGTCCGCTCCATGCCCAGCCCCTCACACCACCCATCTAGGACCATGAGCCTCCTGAGTGGCGCAGTGGTCTAAGGCACTGCATCGCAGTGCTAGCTGTGCCACTAGAGATCCTGGTTTGAATCCAGGCTCTGTCATAGCCGGCGCGACCAGGAGACCCATGGGGTGGCGACCGGGAGACCCATGGGGTGGCACACAATTGGCCCAGCGTCGTCCAGGGTAGGGGAGGGAATGGCCGGCAGGGATGTAGCTCAGTTGGTAGAGCATGGCGTTTGCAACGCTAGGGTTGTGGGTTTGATTCCCACGGGGGGCCAGTATGAAAAAAAAAAAATGAATGCACTAACTGTAAGTCGCTCTGGATAAGAGCGTCTGCTAAATGACTAAAATGTAAATGAGAGAGAGTTTTAAAAAAAATCAAATAAGAATTGCCTAGCATAGGAGAAGGAGAAGGAGAAGAGCCAAGGAGAATGCCCACTGGCTTCATGACCAAACCGAGGAATTATGTCAGGTATCATACATCTGACTCAAACATTTATTTAAAGGAAATTCATTTTTATCATCCTCCTCTTGGTGATTGCAACCCTCAAATTGGTTCTCAAACACTTTAGGCCTATCTGATGAAACAGCTCTAGGCTACACAAAATAACACACTTAGGTAAAAAGGCTAGTAAATTAATTGTAAGGTAAACCGACCTTCTGTAGACTACGGTTTGGCGTCGGGAACACGCCTTTGGGATTCAAGCATAGCGATGACTGTCGTGAACGCGCATCGCGGGCTTGACGTCACTGAAGCGCCCAGGCTCTCCAGAGCGAGAGCCGCTGGTTGTGTTGGCAAAAAAAGATGGGAAAATCAGATAGAGGTATGCTAAGGAAATAAGGGAAAATGTCCGTATATGTAGCCGTTTTCCATTTGACGCAGGATACAACAAACTGACCCCCATCAGACAGAGCTACAGCACGGTAGGCTAGTTCACTCTATAAGTGATTTTCGTCATCATTGTGTTCATTTCTAAGGATTCTGCTTGACCATATGCCTTGTAGCTATGTCATATATTTATGAATACGTATGCATCAGGATTTTATGACATTTTTGGCTAAGAAAATAACGGCATTTTTGTTAGTTTTTTTTTAGGGGAGAGCGAATTTCTTTAAATGAAGGAAAGCCCCGTAAATGATGTTCAGCCCTACAGCAATGGAGGAGGAAAAGAAAGGGATATTTGAGAGAGGGAGCTATTGGGTGGCTCCTGTATTTCCAAAGAAGAAAAACATTTGAGATGTTGTCCATTGCTAAAGATTTTAGACGTTTTGCCATCAAAGTAGACAATCGTATTACCTTCAGACCATTTATCAGTTTTGTTAGCAGTCTATCTTGCATCCATGTGTCTTTATTCCCCAACGTTTAAATGACCAGCCCTTTCAGTCATAGCCAACACAGCTAATGTAGCGAACAAGAAACAATGTAGCACACTACCTTGCGCGATATAGGCTAGTGCAAGATCCATCTACGTTCAACGTCGGAACAGTGCTACATCGCAATATTTTTTTCGATATTGCAGCAAAACGTTAGTGTACCGCTTGATAACACAGTCACATTAGCTTCGTGTTTGCTGTTAGCTACCCTGCCAATTTAAACTCCTACTAGCTATGGATACATTTATGAGGAGTCTGCAGTCGAAATTGTCCGTGCTGAAATGTATCACGCATAAAGATAGTAAGTTGGTTTTCTAAGGAAATTCCGTACTATCGGTCGCATTTTTGGGCCCACAACTCGCAGTCATTGGATACAATTGAAAAGGTGCGCTCCTCCCTACATTAGCCAGGTGACGTGACACATACAGTACCATAACGTACCAGCGTCCCTACATGAAATTCTATCTTTGAAGCTGAACATAAAGAAACAAATCTAAATGATCTTCACAAAATGGTCTTTGCAGAGCCTACTATTGAACTGTAGGTCTAGCGGATGTACACATATGCATTGATAGTGCCTCCTGTAGCTCAGTTGGTAGAGCATGGCGCTTGCAACGCCAGGGTTGTGGGTTCGATTCCCACGGGGGGCCAGTATGGAAAATGTATGTACTCACTAACTGTAAGTCGCTTTGGATAAGAGCGTCTGCTAAATGACTAAAATTAGAATGTAAATCCATATTTTTCCACCAAGTGAGGAGTTCCCTCCTTTTAGCTGGCAGAAATCTTGCATTTCCCAACATCTTTTCAGGAACTAGTCGGCGAGAAGGCTGAAAAAAAACAGGAACAATAACATACTTGCTTTATGAAACATGATACACAACATCCGGGACTAACATTAGCCACTGTAGCATGGTGGTGGAACATTGTGTTTCATAAAGAAAATATGCATATTTACCCTGTTTCTTTTCGCCTTCTCGCCATTAAATCTAATGAAGGCGGAAATCAACGCCTTTGCAGCCTGAATGGACAATGTTTTATGTATGAACTGGTCCACGGGGATACGAGTGTATAGCTGGCTGCATACATTCCCTTTTTGGACAGTAAGATGACACGACTCAATATCGCCATCTACTGGCCTGTAGGCTAGTCGTTTCTATGCGACCATGTGTAGAAGTAGATGACAGCGCATCACACGGTGCAACCAAAACAAAAATCAACACACATGCAAGAGGGGTGCCCTAAAGCTCGGGGGTTAGTGCTGCGCCACTGCTTATAACTATCTAAGATGTGGCATATAAATTATCTCCAGTTCAGGGCTCCAGCAATGCATTTGGTTTGCTAACTTGCTAGCTTGCTAGATCAAGCTTCTTGGTTACAGCAGAGACAATCAAATCCTCTTGGATCAAGATCCCTGCTGCCTAAATTCGTTTTGTGTATAAGAAAAAATGGCGCCCCTTCTGTGCAATGCTGGTAATACTGTATACCCTGGTATGGTACAGGAATGGTATGAAAATCTGGGTACCGCCCAACCCTATTTCTCACTCCATACAAAATGTGGATTTTACATTTTTTTTCGGAATATTCTGTTGCTTTTGGAGAACCACCTGCAACTGAACACAGACATTTACAAGATACACTTTTCTACCGAATCGAGAACAAAGCAAGTATCGGCTAGAACAAGTTAATTGAAAAATAGCTTTCAACACTTTTTACTAGCCAAGGTATAACGGCTACTATGGAAGAATTCCCATATCGCTGTTTTAATGTATAGCTACACCCATAGATGAGTTGGTGGGCTGTCTATATGGGTTGATTGCCCAGCATTTCTTACTGGACACTCTCAAAGCATCTGAGAGCAGGTTTTATTGCAAGATTATGCCCATGGTTGGTAGTCTGGTTTCCACTCTGGTTTCTCCTTTAGTCAGCTTGTCTTTGTCTTATTTGGAAAGGCAAAAATGTAGTGTTGTTGAATGCAGAAACATGAGTATGACCTCTTCTGGAGTGTACAGTATAGACTCATCTAGAGTCTGCTTACTCTCTAGGTTTCTTCCTAATTCCTACCTACTAAGTTTTTTTCTTGCCACTATAACCTCAGCTTGCTCTTTGGGGGTTACGGTCTGCATAGTTGTGACAAATTTGATTGAGGTACTCATGCTACACGCTTGGTGTAGGGACCCTGGATGTATGTTAGTGATATCCAATTTGTTCCTAATTTCATGCATCATGGCTAGACAGACATTACAGTAAGGTAGAGACGGTATGCTTTTGCCTTTCGATTTACGAACTCTCTAATTTAGCCAACTCTGTTCCTTCTTCCAGATCAGTCTCCTGTGTATGGATCCTCTGAATGGCTGTTATCTAACTCCAAGAGCAGCTGTCACTCAGTCCCTTCTGAGATCGAGTGAGCGTGGAGAGAGAGATCTCAGCGGTTTCACATGAAACAAGCGCTCACTTACTCCAATTGAAGCTGTCACACACACACTAGACAAGGCTACATCTCCACGTTTCAGACACTGCACCTCTTTCCACCATCCATCCGTCCACTCCTCTGCTTCAGCGAACATGTACGGCAGCGCCCGTTCCGTTGGCCCAGCGGATGCCAACCACAGCGGAGGAGGCAGAGATGGAGGGAGAGATGCAGGAAGAGATGGGGGGAGCAGCCAGGGTTCGGGGCGCTCCCCTCGTCTCCCCCGCTCCCCACAGATGGGCCACCGTCGCACCAACAGCACGGGGGGCAGCGGAGGGGGTCCAGGCGGACCGGGGGGTAAGACCCTCTCCATGGAGAACATCCAGTCCCTCAATGCGGCCTACGCCACCTCAGGACCCATGTACCTGAGCAACAACGAGGTCACCATGTCCGACCATGTTAACAAGAGCGGTCGGGAGATGACCACAATGGGGCGACAGAGGGTGACATACGGGTCGAAGACGAGCGCAGGTGGGGGTGGAGGTGTGGCAGCCAGCACGCCCAACATCGCCACGTCGGCCCCAGCCAACGCTGTGCTCCCTGGGGTGATGATGGCAGGTGACTCCCTGGCTTTTGGGGATCATCACATGGCCTCTACGGTGCCCCACTCGCTGAGACAAGCCCGGGACAACACCATACTGGACCTGCAGGCCCAGCTCAAAGAGGTCAGTAGCCCCAGTTGCAGTTATCGTAAGTCTGTTAGTTGGCCTGTAGGGGAACGCTATGGATGAGAAAAGCGATCAAATTTTTTTGGGGGGGGTAGATCAGCTTAATATTGCAGATAGATTGTAACTTCCGTCAATGTAAGCTATCTAACTTACTGAATTGCATTTATAGTGAGACTGGATGCTGTGATGTCATAAGGACATTTTGCAATGACACGTTTGACATGTACCCTACTTTGAGCAGCGCATCCAGTTTGACTTTTACTGAGTGTCCTGGCATTCCAAGGTTCTGTGTGAGAACGATTTGATGCAGAGTGTGTGTGAGTGAAAGTCAGACTGTATGTTTGACTGACTGAGTCCCCTGGTCCCTCAGGTTCTGCGTGAGAACGAGCTACTGTGTCGTGAGGTAGAGGTGAAGGAGAGCAAGCTGAGTTCCTCCATGAACTCCATAAAGACCTTCTGGAGCCCTGAGCTGAAGAAGGAGAGAGCCCTAAGGAAGGACGAGGTGTCCAAGATCACTGTCTGGAAGGAACAATACCGCGTGGTGCAAGACGAGACACAGGTTGGTGTGGTGTGGGAGATATTTTTCATCCATTTCATTGTTAAAGAAATGATTGGGGGTTAGATAATCTGATCCTAGATTTGTGTTTAGGGGCAACTTACTACCTCGAGCAAAGGGCAGGTTAGAGCCTATCGGCTGTGTGTGTGTGTGTGAGAGAGAGAGGGGGGAGATGTAGCTATAGGACAGGTTGGAGCCTATTGGCTGTGTGAGGTGGGAGACGTAGCTTTAGGGCAGGTTGGAGCCTATCGGCTGTGTGTGTGTGTGTGAGAGAGAGGGGGGAGATGTAGCTATAGGACAGGTTGGAGCCTATTGGCTGTGTGAGGTGGGAGACGTAGCTTTAGGGCAGGTTGGAGCCTATTGGCTGTGTGAGGTGGGAGACGTAGCTTTAGGGCAGGTTGGAGCCTATCGGCTGTGTGTGTGTGTGTGTGTGTGAGAGGGGGGAGATGTAGCTATAGGACAGGTTGGAGCCTATTGGCTGTGTGAGGTGGGAGACGTAGCTTTAGGGCAGGTTGGAGCCTATCGGCTGTGTGTGTGTGTGTGTGTGTGAGAGGGGGGAGATGTAGCTATAGGACAGGTTGGAGCCTATTGGCTGTGTGAGGTGGGAGACGTAGCTTTAGGGCAGGTTGGAGCCTATCGGCTGTGTGTGTGTGTGTGTGTGTGAGAGGGGGGAGATGTAGCTATAGGACAGGTTGGAGCCTATTGGCTGTGTGAGGTGGGAGACGTAGCTTTAGGGCAGGTTGGAGCCTATCGGCTGTGTGTGTGTGTGTGAGAGAGAGGGGGGAGATGTAGCTATAGGACAGGTTGGAGCCTATTGGCTGTGTGAGGTGGGAGACGTAGCTTTAGGGCAGGTTGGAGCCTATCGGCTGTGTGTGTGTGTGTGTGTGAGAGAGGGGGGAGATGTAGCTTTAGGGCAGGTTGGAGCCTATTGGCTGTGTGTGTGTGTGTGTGTGTGAGAGGGGGGAGATGTAGCTTTAGGGCAGGTTGGAGCCTATCGGCTGTGTGTGTGTGTGTGTGTGAGAGAGAGGGGGGAGATGTAGCTTTAGGGCAGGTTGGAGCCTATCGGCTGTGTGTGTCTGAGGGAGGAGACGTAGCTTTAGCACCATCAGCTAATCCTCTTATATGCAGCTATATGCTCACGCTTCATAGATCAAAGAGCGGTGTTAGTTTAATGGCTGCATAAGTCTGTACACAACATCCTCCTGTGTTAGAGGAATGGGAGGATGTAGTGAGCAGATATGAGAGGAAACCTGTGAAAAAGGAGCTTCAGATTGAGCTAGGGGGATGTTGTTAGAACGCTACTGTACTATACCTGCCATAGAGAGAAAATAAATAGAAAGAGCAGAACAGCCTCTTGGGGATAAGACGTAGAGTAAATAGCGTGAGGGAGAGAGAGTGCAGGCTTTTAGTTTCCTCACGTTGCTGTCTTATATGTGGTGACGGCTCACAACTTGGCATACTGAAGACAAACTTGCTATTCAGAGACCAAGGGCTCTATTTTTGGCTGCCGCTATGGCGGCGCAAGTACCAAACACACATTAGTTTGCAATTTCAGCATGGAAAAACTGGCGCTCTGGCGTTTTCCACCCCATGCACCAGGTTCAGCAATTTACCTGCCTAATATCAGCTCACTTCCGCTGAGGTGGGAGGAATGGCAATATTTGAGGTGTGTCCTTGAAAACAAGCACAAAGCTGAATTTAATGCAGCGCATATCAGGAGATTTAAAGACCAATGAAAAGCAGGTAGGTCTTAGCAGTAATGCGGTTGGTAATGGCATGGATTTTGTGAGCAGAAGCGCAACCAATCCAGCCATGACGCACAGTGCCCATATACTCATTGAACAAGAGAGGGGATGTGCTTTTTGTGCTGGTAACCCTCCTATTAATAAACATTTTTAAAAATGTTTTTTTTCCCCATTTGGTTTCACTTGATTAAAAACCAAGCATATAGCCTCCCCATACCTCAATTAATGCTGTTTTCAAGCCTATCAATAAAGGGTTTGACTCGTGAGAATGCTTTGAAATAAATCTTAATCTCCAACGCTTTATTAAAATATCAAGTTTGGGAGCAGCAAAAGAGTGAGCCAACATCCCCTTTTTATGCATTTTGTAGGCCTACATTATTTTAGCCTGCTCTCGTTTTGGGCGTGCGTAAAAACCCCTCCATATAGGCTACATGTGTCCATATGCCCATCACAATATGAGATGATGCTGGTGACCCTTGTATTTAGAATGTATTTTCCTCTAACAATTGCTTGTTTTCCGTTTCATATGATTAAAAACCGATCCCTCCGTAGGCTACCCTTACCCTAGACCTCGAGGCTATAACGAAGGCTGGTTCAACAGCAATCAGTCATGTCTTTTTTATCCTGTTGATTTTATGATATCATGATTCTGACCCCAAGCTATTTATACATATTGTTGTTGTACAAAAAGTAGTGCTTGTTTTTTGTTTTAATTTAATAAAAAAAACTAACTTATTACAATGATTCACCATCCTAGCTTTATGATGAGAACGTCCAGCTTGCATGCTATGGAATTTAGGAGCCGTCTGCTATTTCTGGAGAAGGGTGAAAGCGATCTGTAAGATGGGTCCATTAGGCCAGACCAAATTGATTCACTGTATAACGGATTTTCCCCCAGAAAAGTGAGGCGAGCGAGCGAAAAAATAATAATACAAACAAAAAAAACATTACGTGGATAAAGAATAACAGTACTTTACCACATTGTCCTAGGCACTTGTGCAGGCTGTAGGTCTAATGTGAGCTTCTAGAGTTATATTATTCCATGCGAAAACCTACACTATTTTTAACCATGAATTTAACCGACTGTTTGTTTATAATGATGGACGTCCCAAGTTTAACCTGGACACATAATAGTAGGAATTTGCGCTGGCTTCAGCCATGACTGCATGAGAGAGAAATGAAACATCTGCACGTCGCCTGCAGGTGCGAGCGTGTGTTTCACTGTCCAATCCGAGGCTCGAACATGATCTGAGCGCGTGATCTGAGGGCGCACAGAACAGAATCAAAACCAGAACCAAACTCCAGCAAACAGCATTAGTCCTCAGGGCAGGTTGGCATTCAGGAAGATCAGATGCCTCAGCTTGGATGGGCTGATAGGCCTGATACGATTTCGCCTCTCCGTGAGTATCTGCCCTGTTTTGGAGAAGATTCTCTCAGAAGGAACTGATGTGGCAACAATACATAGTCTCCCCTCCATCACCTTCACCAGGAGTGGAAAGACTGAGGCCTTGGCCTGCCACCAGCTCAGTGGGTCTTCTGCTCTCTGGATGAGGGGCTCCTCAAGGTAGCTCCTCACCTCCAGGACGGCGCAGACCTCTTTCACCAGCTCCCATTCCTCTTGGCTTAATGGCTCAATAGATGCGTTGATGAGGGCCAGGGTGGAGATGATGGCATCTTTTATTTCAAGCATTCGTTTCAACATATCAAATGTTGAGTTCCACCTGGTGGCACACTCTTGTTTGGGCCTCAGTTCAGGAATCCCCATTTGGCGCTGTGTGGACTTTAGCTTCTGTGCTGCTACTGTGCTTTTGTGGAAAAACTCCACAACAGCCTTCACCTTATCCACGGTTGTTTTGATCACCTTCAGAGCATCTCTAACCACCAGGTTTAGTGTATGCGCCAGACATGGGTGATGGGTCCACTTCAAAACTTTTATGGCTTTGGTGATGTTTGCAGCATTCTCACTCACACAGCACACCACTTTGTCCTCTACTTGCCACTCTTTTGCCACTCTTAGTAGCTCCACTGCCAAGTTTTCTGCAGTGTGTCTGTCGGTGAACTCGAAGCAGTCCAGAAGGCAAGATGTCATCTTGTAATCTTCAATAAAGTGGCAAGTGACAGACATGAAAGAGCAGGTTGTTCTGGAGGTCCAGCAGTCAGTTGTCAGGCAAACTGATGGAGCTTTTGTCACCCTTTCTTGCCATAATGCACGTTCTGTGTCATATAGTTTTGGGATCATTGTTTGGGAAAGTGTTTTTCTACTGGGTAGAGTGTATGTGGGATTTAGGGCTTTGACAAAGTTTTTCATTCCTTTGTCCTCCACAATGGAAAAGGGTTGAAAATCAGAAGCTACCATTTTAGCCAACTCATCATCAATACTGTGCTGTTTGGCTGGGGTCATCAGTTTAGGTAAAAACTGACTTATTTTGCTTTGAGTTGCAGTAGGAGAGGTTATACTTGCACGCATGGGGATGGCAGTAGACGTTACAGCAGCTGTTGTTCTGGTATGAGACACACCAGGATCAGTAGATGGTGAGCTGGCTTGCCCTCTCTCCTCTAACTGCACTGTAGGATGGACAGTTCTTGTATGTCTATGCAGGTTTGTGGTGGAACCTGCTCTTATAGTGACCTTCGTTTTGCAGTGAAGGCACTCTGCTTTCTTGTTCCCAATATCTTTAAACTGCAGCCAGATGCTGCTTCGCTTTCTAGTGTCACTCATAGTTAAACGACACGACAATGCAAGACGCACACACGCTCCTCAGTCCGCTCTGTTTGGTCTCTTGCGCATTAACTTGGGCAAGCCTCAAGGGAGAGCGGACAGTGCAGTATAAACAAAGCGCCGCATATATTGCCCAAAAAATAACTTTTTAATTTTTTTAACAAAAAAAATTGCGGGGTGTGGAGAAAAGTAAGGCGGGGCATCCGTTAAACAGTAATTTAACTTTGTCCAGCCTTATGTTTATACAACATATTTGGGAGCTGTATAAGGGTTGACATTCTCTTTATATGGGATCTTTGTCCAGCTTCTGTGAAAAGTTTGGATGTGCGTAAAACCTTCCATTGTCTGCGTTGCCTTAATATTATATTATGCCCATGGGAGCAATTATGGTGCCTTTAACTATATTTATGCATCGCCTATTTAAAACAAGTTGTTTTGATTCACATTTTATTCGAATGATTCACTATTTTTAGGCCTTATCAGTAGTGAATTCAATCTTGCTTATTGACAACGTTTGGCATGTCCATGGCTCAGCCATAATGCATTTACAGTAGGCTTATCCCCTATATCAGTAGGAATGCTATGTTTAACAATATATTTCCATATTGAAGCCATGCAATTACTTAGAACAATGTGGACTGCAAACATGTTCAACATATTAAGCAAAGATGGGATAGGCCTACATTTTGTTATTTTGTTTCTGTAGGCTATTTAACAAACGAGGCTATAAAGGACTAACATTCGAATTGGAGTTGATGACAACACAGTACATAAGACAGTAAATACACAAGTTGAAGCAACCACATATTTAGCCATGGAACACGTTCTGATTGGCCAGTGAGGGGTCAAGCCTCCAACGTATTTATTCGTCAAAACCCATCCCTTTCACGCCACTGCCAGCTACTGCGCCCATAATTCCCGCAGTGAAAATAGCAACAAATATTTCTGACACACCCCTGGACCTATAGCGCTACCGCCAGTGCTAAGATTTCACATTCCGTAAGGTTTGTTAAAATAGAGCCCCAATACGCGCACACACACATTTTTACACTGAAGCTGAAGATTCACCCAGCTGAAATAGCAGTATCTCAGTACAGTATTGTGTGTCTATTCTAAGTCTTTACTTTAGCAGTCAATGGCCTTTGATTCTTATCCCCTCCTGTCTCCTTGGGGGTTGTGCGAAGTTCAATTCCACATCAGGTGCTTTAAAGAGAGCTACCCCCCCCCGCTTCTCGCCTCTCTCTCGCTCTGTCTCTACTGCTCTTCAGAGTGAGTGAGAGGAGACGCTGCCTCTGCGTTTAGGATAATGCCCAGCTCAGCACCCCATCACTGCATGTGTGAATGCTGGCAGTGGGATTTTCACACACTTGTGTGTGTTAACTAGCAATAGCAATCCTGGTTTAACAGGAGATTAACTGTATGAGAAATGGGGATCAATTCAGTTTCGGAAGTAGTGTATTTAGGAAATCATCTATAATCCTGGAAAACATGGATGATTTTTCACATCATGTGTTGGACTTCACTAATCAAATGAATGTATTTCCGCTCTGTGAACGCTGGCATCCTGACAGAAGGCATGGCTTTAATGATTAGTGGCGTGAATGGGCTGATCTGGATAATTTGGTGTTTCTTTTCCTGCCCATTATGGCCTGCTGAGTCACACACACACACACACACACACACACACACAAAAACACTACGAGAGAGTGGCTGTGTGAGGGGGCTGACGGTTAGACGGACAGGGTAATTACCCAGATTCCTGAGCAGTGGGGTGGGGGGCTGACAGTCTGAAAACAGCCATCTTTAAAGTAGAGCACCCGCTGATTAGCCCTACAGTAGTGAGGCATTACATACTATGTGTGCTAATTCTCTGTAATGCCTCACTACTGTAGGGCTAATCAACAGGTGCTCTTTTTTTGCTATTAGTCTCTGAACGTGCAGCGAGCGCTGTAAAATGGCTGTCATATTCCATCTCCTACAGTAGCACCACTGATACTCTGCTAATTAACATCGCTTGTTACTCACTAAACACCGCTGCGCTCTCCATTTATCATGTCAGAATGTTCAATGTTAAAAATGCTTAATTGGCTCAAAGTAAAGTGGATGTATAACAGATATACGATAAGAGAGGGAATGAATACAAAAGGGAGGGAGGGATAAATATATAAAGAGAGTGAGGAAGGGAGTGAGTGTCAGATTTGATATGTTAGGTTGGTGTTTATCGTACGTTTGACCCATATAGCATTATACTGCAATGTGTGTTGTGCTGCAGATCTATCTGTTGCATAGCTTTGCTTACTGTGTGTGGTAGCTTAGTGGCGGCAGGCAGGTAGCTTAGTGGTTAAGAGCGTAGTGCCAGTAACCGAAAGGTCGCTGGTTCTAATCCCCGAGCCGACTAGGTGAAAAATCTGTCGATGTGCCCTTGAGCAAGGCACTTAACCCTAATTGCTCCTGTAAGTCGCTCTGGATAAGAGCGTCTGCTAAATGACTAAAATGTAAAATGTGTGTATGTGTTCTGTTTAGATCAGCTTGCTGTATCCAATCTTTTAAACGCCTCTCTGTTGTCTCTTCTCATGAGAGGGATAGGGATCAGTGAGTCAGACTTAGTCACTGGGTATAGGAGGGGCGAGGAGGAGAGAAAGAGGATGAGGGAAGGTGTGAGAGTGACGGCAGGGTGAGCGAGGGAGGAGGGGAGTGAAAGAGCGAGCGAAGGAGAGTGCGAGTGGCAGAGGGAGGGAGCGATGGAGACAGACACTGACTTGTCTTTGTGCTGTTGTCTGAAACGCCTCCCAGCTAATCCAAAGCAGAGAATAGAACACAGCATTGTATTTCTGTCACATAGCTGCTCTGTCAAATAACTGTGGCAGTACAGGCTCCAAACAATGAATGTTGGCTGATTGTGCTTTTGATCTCTGTATTTCACTGCATGGGAACGTCAGATTGTCCTGATTGAGTAGATGGTGTACTTGTTGCTGTACCCACCTATCCTTCTCGCTCCCCTTTCCTCTTCTTTTTGATAAGTTAACAAACACTTTCCTCACTCCTCCCCCCTCCATCTTTCTTCTCCCTCTCTCCTTTCCTTCCTCTCTCCACCCCCATATGACAATATGGAAGAATAAAAGAACCAAATTCATCCTTATACTCTCCTCCCTCTTATTTTATGCTGCACCTCCAAATAAAAGGTGAAAAATGAATAGATAAATAAATAAACTCTCCTCTCCCCCTATCTCTCGCTCTCTCTCTAGCACCTCCACATGACGGTCCAGGCCTTGCAGGATGAACTGAGGATCCAGAGAGACCTGAACCAGCTGCTCCAGCAGGACCCTGCCAGCCAGGGTCGTGAACTGGCCCTGAACTCTGAACCCACGGAGGAGAACTACCGGCGGCTACATGGGGACCACGAGCGTCAGGCCAAGGAGCTGTTCCTGCTCAGGAAGACACTGGAGGAGATGGAGCTGAGGATAGACACCCAGAAACAGACCCTGGGCGCCAGGGACGAGTCCATCAAAAAACTGCTGGAGATGCTGCAGAGCAAAGGTGGGTTACTGTGACACACACACACTGACCATATTAGTAATGTTCTTATATTAAAATATCTTATATAAATGACCATATTATTGTATTCCAGGGCCGTCGGCTAAGGCCTCAGAGGAAGACCAGGAGAGAACCAGGAGACTGGCTGATGCTGAGATGCACAGACACCATCTAGAGTCTCTGCTGGACCAGAGAGAAAGGGAGACGACTGCTCTACGAGAGGTGAGGGACACTGGGAGAGATGAGAAGGAGGGAGGGAGAGAGGGGAGACGGAGGAAGGTAACAAATAGAGCGGCTTTACTTGGCTCACAATACAAAGCATTTGGTATTGAGTGGTGTGTAGTAGACAATGTGTGTGAGGTGTGACAGCCTTGTTCTCTTTAGGAGCTGCACCGTCGATACGAGGGAACCCCAGAGTCCACCAAAACCAAGGCTCTACAGACAGTCATCGACATGAAGGTACCTGTCTCTGTGTGTGGCTGTGGCTGTGTCTGTAAGTGTGTTTATGTCTGTGGCATAACCCCTTATCTCTCCGGTGTGTGTCAGGATGCTAAGATCAACTCTCTGGAGCGTGGTCTGAGGGACACGGAGGAGGAGGTGATGATGCTCAAGTCCAATGGCCTGCTGAGCTGTGAGGAGAGACAGGAGGAGATGAAACAGATGGAGGTTTACCGCAGCCACACCAAGTTCATGAAGAACAAGGTTAGAGGGTCACTTCCCCTCAGTTCCCATTGGTCAGAATTCAGTTTCACTCAGTTCCCATTGGTCAGACTTCAGTTCCCCTTGGTTCTGATAGGTCAGAATTCAGTTCAGTTCCTTCCAATCAGCTCAATTCTGTAGTTGTACATGTTCTCTTCATATCCATGCCCTCCTTCCTCTCCTCTCCCTCTGCTCATCACCCTCTACTTCTCCTCTACCATTCCTCTTCTCCCCTCCCCTCTCCTGCTCTTGTTTTCCTCTTCCTCCACCTCTCCCCCCTCTCTCTCTCTCTCACTTCCACTCTCACTCTCACTCTCACTCTCACTCTCACTCTCACTCTCGCTCTCTCACTCAGATGGACCAAGTAAAGCAGGACTTGTCCAGGAAGGACACAGAGCTGCTGGGTTTACAGACCAAGCTGGAGACTCTGACCAACCAGTTCTCTGATAGCAAACAGCACATTGAGGTCCTCAAGGAGTCGCTGACTGCTAAAGAACAACGAGCTGCCATCCTACAGACAGAGGTACACACACACACACACACACACACACACAAAGACCCAGTATGCTGAGCGTTTCCCCTCTGCCCTCTGCTGACCAGGTGGATGCGTTGCGTCTGCGTCTGGAGGAGAAGGAGACCACTCTGAACAAGAAGAGTAAACAGATCCAGGAGATGTCTGAGGAGAAGGGCACGCTCAACGGAGAGATCCACGACCTCAAGGACATGCTGGAGGTCAAGGAGCGTAAGGTCAACGTCCTGCAGAAGAAGGTGGGGCTCGACTATATAGCACGCTGTATAATACAATAGGATACAATGTCATACTAAGTCCTGTTTAGGAGGCGTTTTGTGTATGTCTTTTGTCTAGCTCGCCTAGTTGTGTGTGTGTGTGTGTGTGTGTGTGTGTGTGTGTGTGTGTGTGTGTGTGTGTCCAGATTGAGAACCTGCAGGAGCAGCTGAGAGACAAGGAGAAGCAGATGAGCAGCCTGAAGGAGAGAGTCAAGTCTCTACAGACAGACACCTCTAACACAGACACCGCTCTCACCACACTGGAGGAGTCCCTCGCTGAGAAGGTACACACTCTCACTCACACATACATTCACACACACACACACACACACACTAGAGTCCTGCATGGGTCAGTTTTATGGAGCTGCGCCTGCCACATCAATTCCGATACCCACCTGACATCAGGACAGGTTGTTCTCCCCGAAACGACCCACGCGCTTAGAATTGTTCCGAGAGCCGGTCCGTTACCCGCCAAATTGCATCCATTTATTTAATTGTTTTTATGACTCCAGACAGTAGGCTATTCCTTTTTTCCCTGCTAGAATTAATGTGTCTGCATGTCTATTCAACAGTTGGATAAAGAAAACATGCGGCACATTGATAACTCAAATAGCTTTGAAAAAGAGCCTTCTTACCTAATGAAAGCTATAGGCTTAGCCTACATAACAAAACATGACCTTTGCATTCAATATTGTTTTGATTTTCAAATAGTTTAATTGAAACTTAAATAAAGAAATGCCAGAATTGAATATAGCCTTCAAAAATAGTCAAACCTTTACCAGCCACACCGGTCAAACGGAAATTATATGGCCAGTGTATGGTGAACAAAAGTCTGAATTGCGAAAGCCTCTGCACATGGACACATTTGAATAACAGACAGTTCCCTGCTCCACACTCTATCACTGTGTGGCTGGGTCTGTCACCGCTCACAGAATGGAATTTACAACAATAAAACAAGCTGCTGGGTTTGTACAAATTGGATAAGCATGATTTAAAACATTTCCGACCCACCAAAATATAATTGTTCTGAACTGCGAGCCAACCAACGTGTTCAAGGAATGTTTTCATTCCACCCGCCGGCTGATTTTTTTTGCGGGTCACCCGCGGTGAACTGTCAGTGCCCGATGCAGTGCTCGAACACGCACACACACACACTGTCCGACTCCAGCAGAGACACATGAGCAATGTTTCTGTCCTGGGTGTTTGTGCTCTCATATGGGCTCTGAAATGACACATGATGATGATGATGTGTGTGCCTCCCCTCCTATTCTCTCCTCTCTAGGAGCGTATCATCGAGCGTCTGAAGGAGCAGAGAGACCGAGATGACAGGGAGAAGACTGAGGAGATCGACAGCAACAAGAAAGAACTGAAGGAGCTGAAGGAGAAAGTCAGTTTGCTGCAGGGAGATCTGTCCGACAGAGAGGTACACACACACACACACACACACACACACACACACACACACCAAACACACACACACACACACACACACACACACACACACTGTAGTGACACTGTTGACACATTTGAAGAGTTTATTTCCAAAATGCTATATCATCACATTTTTATGAGTATCTTCATGTGTGTGTACAATATTACTGTTCTCAGATTTTTTATTAAAAGATTTAGAAAATGTTTGTTTTTTTTGCAAAGCGCTATATATCCATTGTTTAGCTGGAGCGGAATGTTCATATCCTGTATATTTGACTGTGATATGTGGTTGTCTCACCTAGCTATCTTAAGATGAATGCACTTACTGTAAGTCGCTCTGGATAAGAGCATCTGCTAAATGACTAAAACGTCAAATGTAAATGTTTTATATATAGAGATCTTATTACTGTATAGAATTTTTAGATTTTTTTATATTGATGTCACAAATGTATCATTTGTAAATGTCTTTATTAAAACATTTAGTTATTTGTTACATTTTACTGAGTAAAACCTAGCAGTACTACTTATTTATCTGAGAGTGAGGCATATACACTGAGTGTACAAAACATTTCCATGACATAGACTGACTAGGTGAATCCAGGTGAAAGCTATGATCCCTTATTGTTATTACTTGTTAAATCCACTTCAATCAGTGTAGATGAAGGGGAGGAGACAGGTTAAAGAATGATATTTAAGCCTTGTAACAATTGAGACATGGATTGTGTATGTGTCATTCAGAGGGTGAATGGGCAAGACAAAAGATTGAAGTGCCTTTGAACGGGGTATGGTAGTAGGTGCCAGGTGCACCTGTTTGAGTGTGTCAAGAACTGCAACGCTGCTGGGTTTTTCACGCTCAACAGTTTCCCGTGTGTATCAAGAATAGTCCACCACCCAAAGGACATCCAGCCAACTTGACACAACTGTGGAAAGCATTGGAGTCAACATTCCTGTGGAACGCTTTCGACACCTTGTAGAGTCCATGCCCTGACAAATTGAGGCTGTTCTGAGGGCAAATGGGGGGGTGCAACTCAATATTAGGACGGTGTTCTTAATGTTTTGTACACTCAGTGTATTTAGCATTTTGCAAAAAAACATGATTATTTGTCTCTGAAATGAAACCATCAAGTGATAGATTTTAAACAAATATGATTAGATAGTGAAAAAATCACAGTATCTTTCATAATTTATTTAAACAATAAAATCTAATTTACCAACATTTCAGAAAATTGATATATAGCGTTTTTGGAATGAAACTCTTCATTTATGAACCCCCCCCCCCCTCTCTCCAGACCAATCTGTTGGACCTAAAGGAGCATGCATCGTCCCTGGCCTCCTCGGGGCTGAAGAAGGACTCCAAGCTGAAGAGTATGGCGATCTCTCTGGACCAGAAGAAGGAGGAGTGTTTCAAACTGGAGAACCATCTTAAGAGGGTGAGATGTTGCCTCTAGGCAATGATCTAAGGCCACTTGTACTTACTTGTGTGCATGCGTGTCTGACTGTGTGCGTGTCTGACTGTGTGCGTGTCTGAGTGTGTGCGTGTCTGACTGTGTGCGTGTCTGACTGTGTGCGTGTCTGACTGTGTGCGTGTCTGACTGTGTGCGTGTCTGACTGTGTGCGTGTCTGACTGTGTGCGTGTCTGACTGTGTGCGTGTCTGAGTGTGTGCGTGTCTGACTGTGTGCGTGTCTGACTGTGTGCGTGTCTGAGTGTGTGCGTGTCTGACTGTGTGCGTGTCTGACTGTGTGCGTGTCTGACTGTGTGCGTGTCTGACTGTGTGCGTGTCTGACTGTGTGCGTGTCTGACCATAGAAAATAAAATGTGTTTTCAGGCCCAGAACGCAACGTTGGAGGCCAAGGCAAACACGGAGCTGTCAGAGCGCATCACCTCCCTGGAGCAGGAAGTGACCCGGCACAGAGAGGATTCTGGGAAGGCTCAGGCAGAGGTGGACCGGCTGCTGGAGATCCTGAGAGAGATGGAGAATGAGAAGAATGACAAGGACCGCAAGATCAACGAGCTGGAGAGGTGTGTGTGTGTTTCTTTCTCTGACCCTGACTCTGCTTGTTTGTGTTTGTTTGTGTCTGGCTCAGTCTCTGTAAACAGCAGTTTATCTATATAAATGTGTACCTGGTCTAATGTAGGTGTTTTCCTTTGAAATACCACACGGTCCTCCTCTTCTCCTTCCTTTCATCTCATCTTCCTGCTCTCTGAATCTGTTTCTCTCTCTCCTGCCTTCTTGTCTTTATGCTGGAACTCGCCTGTCTCCTCTCCAGTCAGTCCTCCAGGTTAGTAACATGTTTTCTACATGGTCTGTCTACTGGCTGGACTTCCGCCCTTTCCCCCACCAACCCCTCTCTGTCTAACACCCTCTCCCTCTGTGATGCTCCAGTGGTATGAGTGTAACCTTATGGGACTGTCTGTAACCCAGTCCTCCTGTGTCCCATGGTGCCTTGCAGGCAGACCAAGGACCAGAGTAAGAAGGTGGCATCCCTGAAACATAAGGAGCAGGTGGAGAAGAGTAGGAACGCCCGACTGGTGGACGAAGCTAAAAAGAGAGAGGACAACATCTCAGAGAGCTCTCAACAGATCAAGGTAAGGCACGGGGGGGTGTATGGATGTGTGACTAATAACAACGCTGGTAAAGAAAGCTCTTCTTGTTGCACAACATTTTGTTCTACATAAATATCCTTTATTAAAAATGTATTTATCTACCTCAGTCTTCTCTCCTCCTCCTCTCCCATCTAGGACTCTCTGCGGTTGAAGACTGATCGTATCGAGGAGTTAGAGGAGGCTCTGAGGGAGAGTGTTCAGATTACAGCAGAGAGAGAGATGGTGCTGGCACAGGAGGAGGCTGCCAGGAACCACCAGGAGAAACAGGTACACACACACACACACACACACACTTAACACAAGTACACACACATGCACAAACACCTGTAGGAGGTGCTGGAGATGAAGTAAGACGCACACACACACACACACGCAACACAAGTGTACACACGCACAGACGTGCAACACAAATACACACACATGTACAAAGCTACACAGACACACACAGCTTCTATATCCTTCCTCTCCTCTCATCCCATCTGCTGGCTACGTTTCACTCTCTTCCTCCCTGCCATCCCTCCTTTTCTCAGTTTTCTTATCTCTCATTTTCTCCTGTTTTCTCTGCTACTCACTGCCTCTCAGAAGCACTCACACAAACCAATGCATGAGTCCAACCACACCCACTTTAAGTGGTCTAAGGTATGATGCAATGATCCCCCTCTGTTGTATTTCCCCTTTGGATCAGTAGCTCTTCAGACCATATTATCATGTTACCATTTACCTACTATTCACTTTGAAATTACATGGTGTAAACTAAACTAGAACCTTCTGATACTTGTTTCTAGTAACGCCAGTCTGTAACTGGTTGGTAATCAATGAGGATACTAACAATGCACCCCAGAGAAAGTCAATAGTTATTATTTAGCAATAATGGGTTGTACTGTTAACCATGTGACTTCTAAGTAAATGGCAGTTCAATGAAAGTACTACAGTGAAGTCGTACCTTTATTGCTGTTTAGATCTGTCATTGGAGCCCCTTGTTGTACATCCAACACCTCAGTGGGGTTGGGTCCAGAAACAACCCCTAGCCCTGTTCACCATATTGCTGGTCTATTACCCATCAATCCGTTCAGATTGACACTAGTACCTAGGGGTTATAGGGTGTAAGAGCTAGTGCCAAGGGGATATGGTGTAAGGCAGGGATCATCAACTAGAGCAGCCGCGGGAAGCCCAAACAGATGTAATGTTTGACTAAAACATAATAATTTCAATCCTTGCTTACATTTGTATATGATCACGTGTCTCTCTATTATGCGTGGGAATACTTGGGAACAGATTTCCAAAATTATATCACTTGGAGCTGATTTCCTGGTGTTTTTCCAGTGTTTTATGTCCAACAATGAACATGAAAAAAAAAGGCAGCCAGATGGGGAACCCTGGTGTAAGGGCTAGTGCCAAGGGGATAGGGTGTAGGGGCTAGGGGTTCTTTCTGGACAGTTTTCAATAACATACAACCTCCGATGGCCCTCCCTCTTTAGTGTGCCTTTGATTGACAGCTCATCAAAATGGATCTGTACTTGAGGAAGGTTATATGTCTTTGAATGATAAACACATCTCATACATTTTCATCTCTCTGCTTGTGTCTTTGTATTGCCTTATTTGTATTATGTGTGTGCAGATTGAGGAGCTGCTGGGGGCCATGGAGAAGGTGAAACAGGAGCTGGAGTCTATGAGGGCCAAGCTGTCATCTACCCAGCAGTCCCTGTGTGAGAAGGAGACCCACCTGACCACGCTGAGGGCCGAACGCAGGAAACACCTAGAGGAGGTGCTGGAAATGAAGTAAGACATGCACATACACACACACACACTGTATATACACCTATTCCATTCCCTCCACTTTCACACTTTACCAAGTCACCAGACATCTTGCAGTCAGGTAATGCTGTAATACAGTCAGGTAATATAATATCGTGTAGATCAGGGTTTCCCAAACTCAGTCCTGGGGCCTCCCAGGGGTGAACGTTTAGTTTTTTGCCCTAACACTAGACAGCTGATTCAAATAATCAGCTCATCATCGAGCTTTGATTATTTGAATCAGCTGTGTAGTGCTAGGGCAAAAGCTAAAACATGCACCCCTGGGAGGCCCCAGGACCGAGTTTGGGAAACCCAGCTGTAGATGACTCATTCTAAAATGCCACCCTGTAATAACTCCTTGGTGCAGACAGGAGGCGCTGCTGGCAGCCATCAGTGAGAAAGATGCCAACATCGCCCTGCTGGAGCTGTCCTCGTCCAAGAAGAAGAAGACGCAGGACGAGGTGGCTCTGCTAAAGAGAGAGAAGGACCGTCTGGTACAACAGCTCAAACAGCAGGTAGGGAACATTCCCATGTCACATGACCTAGGTCCGGCCACATAGGCCTCTGTAAAGTCACTTCCTCTACTCATCTCCTTCACCTGAAATGGGGAGAGACGAAACAGACCTCAGATAGTTTATAGGTATAGCTTTTAACTTTGCAGCAAGTGTCAAAATCAAAAAGTAGGCAGCCATAAACTTCTCTCGGCACAGCTGTCTGCTCAATGCACCATGATTTGGGTGGCGGTTAAGAGCGTTGGGCCAGTAACCGAAAGTACGCTGGTTCAAATCCCCAAGCAGACTAGGTGAAATATCTGTTGATGTGCCCTTGAGCAAGGCATTTAACCGTAATTGCTCCTGTAAGTCGTTTTGGATAAGAGCATCTGCTAAATTACTAAAATGTAAATGAGTATGCTGGTCAAAAACATCCCTTTAGTCTCTCCCCTGAAATCCTGTTCTCTCTCCCTCTCTCGGGGAGAGAGCGAAGATGAAGCTTATACTACTATCTTCGAGTATCTCTCTCTTCTAGTCTCTTCTATTCTATTATCTTCTCTCTTCTCGTCTCTTCTCATTTCTTATTCTCTTCTCTTCTCTTCTCTTCTATTCTTCTTCTATTCTAGTAGATTATTCTTCTTCTCTCTCTCTCTCCTCCTCTCTCTCTCTCTCTCTCTCTCTTCTCTCCTCTCTCTCTCTCTCCTCTCTCTTCTCTCTCTCTCCTCTCTCTTCTCTTCTCTCTCTCTCTCTCCTCTCTCTCTCTCTCCTCTCTCTCTCTCTCTCTCTCAGACTCAGAACCGTATGAAGCTAATGGCAGACAACTATGAGGACGACCACTTGAAGACCGCCGCCGACCAGACCAATCACAAACCTTCTCCAGATCAGGTGGGTACCCAGTCAACCAAACAGAATCATATTTTTTGCAGTTGAAGGCAATCTAGATGCTGTTATTGTGATAACATGTGTAGCTTAACCAGAATAGACAACTTCATATACTGGAGAAAGATTATCATGGCCGGCCAGCTCATTAGGCAGATTGATGAGGGCGGTATTTTCTGAGCTAAACTGACCAAGATGCACCTCCAACAACAACAAATAAAACCTCACATAATTCTGCCCAAAAACAATGACAATTTCTCTCAACCAGTGGCATATAGGCTTTTTAGGTGAGCACTGATGCCGCCCTGTTAAAAACAGTGCCCACTTTGTCAAAGGCAGGGGCGCAAATGTAGCTTGTCCATGCCCAGCGCGCCTCTCCAGGGTGCCGTTGGAGAGACGCTTCGCCGCTCCACCAACGTTCCGTCAAAAAAAGTATCTAACATAAATAATGTAGCAGATATAGGGTAGGGTTTCTCAAACTCGGTCCTGGGGCCGCCCTTGGGTGAATGTTTTGGTTTTTTCCCTAGCACTACACATCTGATTCAAATAATCAAAGCTTAATGATGAGTTGGTTATTTGAATCAACTGTGTAGTGCTAGGGCAAACACCAAAACGTGCACCTAGGGGGGGCCCCAGGACCGCATTTGGGAAACCCTGATATAGGGTATGGTAAAAAGAGTACAGTGAGGGGGAAAAAGTATTTGATCCCCTGCTGATTTTGTACATTTGCCCACTGACAAAGAAATGATCAGTCTATAATTTTAATGGTAGGTTTATTTGAACAGTGAGAGACAGAATAACAACAAAAAAATCCAGATAAACGCATGTCAAAATTTTTATGAATTGATTTGATTTAATGAGGGAAATAAGTATTTGACCCCCTCTCAATCAGAAAGATTTCTGTCTCCCAGGTGTCTTTTTATACAGGTAACGAGCTGAGATTAGGAGCACACTCTTAAAGGGAGTGCTCCTAATCTCAGTTTGTTACCTGTATAAAAGACACCTGTCCACCGAAGCAATCAATCAATCAGATTCCAAACTCTCCACCATGGCCAAGACCAGGATGTCAGGGACAAGATTGTAGACCTACACAAGGCTGGAATGGGCTACAAGGCCATCGCCAAGCAGCTTGGTGAGAAGGTGACAACAGTTGGTGCGATTATTCGCAAATGGAAGAAACACACAAGAACTGTCAATCTCCCTCGGCCTGGGGCTCCGTGCAAGATGGAGTTGCAATAATCATGAGAACGGTGAGTAATCAGCCCAGAACTACACGGGAGGATCTTGTCAATGATCTCAAGGCAGCTGGGACCATAGTCACCAAGAAAACAATTGGTAACACACTACGCCGTGAAGGACTGAAATCCTGCAGCGCCCGCAAGGTCCCCCTGCTCAAGAAAGCACATATACATGCCCGTCTGAAGTTTGCCAATGAACATCTGAATGATTCAGAGGAGAACTGGGTGAAAGTGTTGTGGTCAGATGAGACCAAAATCGAGCTCTTTGGCATCAACTCAACTCGGCGTGTTTGGAAGAGGAGGAATGCTGCCTATGACCCTAAGAACACCATCCCCACCGTCAAACATGGAGGTGGAAACATTATGCTTTGGGGGTGTTTTTCTGCTAAGGGGACAGGACAACTTCACCGCATCAAAGGGACGATGGACGGGGCCATGTACCGTCAAATCTTGGGTGAGAACCTCCTTCCCTCAGCCAGGGCATTGAAAATGGGTCGTGGATGGGTATTCCAGCATGACAATGACCCAAAACACACGGCCAAGGCAACAAAGGAGTGGCTCAAGAAGAAGCACATTAAGGTCCTGGAGTGGCTACCCAGTCTCCAGACCTTAATCCCATAGAAAATCTGTTGAGGGAGCTGAAGGTTCGAGTTGCCAAACGTCAGCCTCGAAACCTTAATGACTTGGAGAAGATCTGCAAAGAGGAGTGGGACAAAATCCCTCCTGAGATGTGTGCAAACCTGGTGGCCAACTACAAGAAACATCTGACCTCTGTGATTGCCAACAAGGGTTTTGCCACCAAGTACTAAGTCATGTTTTGCAGAGGGGTCAAATACTTATTTCCCTCATTAAAATGCAAATTAATTTATAACATTTTTGACATGCGTTTTTCTGGATTTTTTTGTTGTTATTCTGTCTCTCACTGTTCAAATAAACCTACCATTAAAATTATAGACTGATCATGTCTTTGTCAGTGGGCAAACGTACAAAATCAGCAGGGGATCAAATACTTGTTTCCCTCACTGTATGTGGCCTTTTCTGTAGCCTACAGGCTGGAGATAAAATGTATGACAATATAATGAGATGGACACTTTTCACATCATGAAGGTTTCTCTGATCAAATAGCTTAACCTAAATAGCACCCAATCAAATAAAACATGTGCTGTCATGTTAACAAACAATATATCCTAAAAACAGGACAGTTCAAAGTAAAATGGACAATATGGAATGGACAATCACAACTGTTGTCCAAGAGTTTAACCCCATTGTCATGATCTGTTGTTTCAGGTTTGTATCGGTAAATTTTTGACGAGCTGATCATAGCGAAAAATAAAATACTTCTGCATTTCCAGCTGTGTAAACACATTGCAAATAGGCTCATGATAACTCCTGATAAAGTTGGGTAGCTGATATTCAGAGCTTAAATAACCAAATCGATTAGTCACGGGAATCAGGACTAATAAAGCCAATGCAACGGCCTGTTTTACAAATGCTAGGCCTACCACATGGATGTGCATTCATAACATGCAGACACTGTAGCCTACACCCCAGTAAGCACGGACCGACGCCTTTTGGACGTCTTTTTTTGGTGCGGTCCAGACCAGCCTTAATTTCCACGTCCACGGACATTGGATTTTGGTCCGGTCCGGACAAAATCGGAACCAATAATAGACATTTATGTTTGGTTCAGATTTTGTCTGGTCTGGATCAGCCTTGATTTGGCCCAAACATACTTTAATTCAAAACCAAAATGAGCCTGATTTCAACATCGGGAAAATACGTATTTTCAACATCCGGAAAATAAGTATTTTGTACTTTCCTTCAGAACTGAAAATTAACCTGATTTCAACGCCCGGAAAAATGCCTTTTCAACGTCCTGGAAAATATGTATTTTAAACGTACGGACAAATGTAATTTCACCTTTCATTCAGAACCTAAATTAAACAATTCAAATCTTCTTCAGCACCTAACCCTTTTTTTCTCTTTTACACACACACTAACCAAGTGTTCTTTTCTAACGCTGCGATTGGCTAAACCATCTGTCCAATAGGATGATGAGGAGGGTATTTGGGCATAGCCAACCCCGTGCCCCCCTCCCCTCTCTCTCTCAGCCATTTTGTTCAGAAGGGTGAGAGCACAAATGAACGTCCGAGTCATCTGTCCATTTTTCACCTCCTCCCTGGCATGTATGCCCGTCTCTCACTCAATCATCAGTGTGTCCCGTTCTGCTCCTCCATTTTGTTTTGTTGTCCGTTTCTCCTCTCACCATTTTATGTTGGTGCAGTGAGTTGGTCCATGCAGTGTTTGGTACATGTTGTCTGTTCTCATATTTGTCTTTTCTGTGGGAATGATATCTCCGTTGTTACTGGATGGTGTTTCAGTGTTTATTGTCTGCCCACCATGTACTGTAGCTTGGACACTGTCTGTGAACAAATGGGTCAATCAAATAGTCAGACACACACACACCGGACACACTTCTGTTCCACATACCAGACTCCACAATCCCATCTCCTTGTGATCTAATGAATGTGAGATGCAGCCTTGTTCCTCCTCCTTCTGCATGCTTCATTCTTCTGGTTTAGCATGGTTTAGTCTCTGAACACACAGGGACCTAATGTAATTGTTCTTATCTCTCTTCTTATATCTCTCTCTCTTATCCAACTGGCTCTTCCATTTCGTTCTCCCTTTCCTGTCCCCCCTTGCATCTCTCCTCTCCAGATGATCCCCCCTCTCCTGTCCCTGAGTGAGAATCGCAGTAAGCTGAAGCTCTACATCGCCCACCTGACTGACCTCTGCCACGACCGAGACCCCAGCATCCTCAGCGTCCTGACCCCACCCCCCCACTATCACCATGCCAACCCACCAGCCTGGGAGGAGGAGCTACACAAGATGACTTTGGAGCAGGTAACAGAGGAATCCCTCTAGTGTTTTCTCTCTCTTGTTCCCTCTGTCTGTCTTTCTCACCCTGTCTTTATCTTTCTGTCTGTGCTGTCATATCTTACTCTTAACAGGAATGAGTGAAGTTTTTATCACCTCGAGAGATGGTGGGGAAGAGTATGCTAACTCATTATCTCTCCCTCTGTCCCTTTCTCTCCCCCCTCCCTTCCTCCTTAGTTGGAACTGGAGTTGGAGTTGTGTGAGAAGGAGAGCGGGGAGCTGCAGGAGTATGCCAACTCAGTGCTGCAGCAGATCGCTGACTACTGCCCTGACATCCTGGAGCAGGTGGTCAACGCTCTGGAGGAGTCCTGCTGAACTCTCACCTTTACAAACCACCCCCAGATGACCCCAGGACCCTGCATGAGCTTCAGACAACCTTCCTCCCATCTATCCACACATGATCTTGGCAGAGGGAAGACTGAGCAATCATACTACACCCCCACATGCCCAATTCTCATTCCTGGGGAGATTCACCAGCCTGAGGAGATGATGATGATGATGATGATGATTAACTGATGAAGAACAGCCACACAGTGGGCTAATGGTGGAGGGATGTAGATGCAGGCCAGTCATGGGTTGTGTTCAGTAGTGCACATCATACCAAAACATTTTGAAAGAGAAAACAAAGTTCAGGTAGCACCTCCCTGTTTCATTCCTTTCAAAAGGTTTTCTCAGTTTTCGTCCCTACTGACACAACCATTGTTTTCTCTTTGTATCTAAACCAGTGTTTTTTTCTGAATGGTGGGGGGTCGTGGCATGAAAATGTTTAGAAACTAGTGATTTAAACAAAAACATTTTTTATATATTCAATGTTATTTCCACTGTTTGACATTCAGAATCTCTTATGTGAGTTTCTGGACAACAAACCTTTTCCCATTTTCTCTCAACCACCCAACTAGATCCATGGAGAGAGAGCGAGAAACCCTAGCTGAGTTATGCTGACTAAATGTAGGGCTTTAGCTCTGGCTGACTTACTGCGTGTTCTGTGAACGGATCTTAAGACATAAGAGGGAGGAATCCTAACTCAATATCCTAACTTGAACTTCCACACACATCTCCCATTGACATCAATGTCTGATTTACGTCAAGTAAGGATTTGGACCAGAGAGGGATGGAGAGAGAGAAACAGAGAAACCGAGAGGAAAGTGTGGTAGCAGTTGGTTTTAGATGGTTTTGCACTCAGCACCCCCTTCTATATGAGGTATGCAATGTTAGTTTCTTTTCAGAGAGTCATAGCCACTGGTACACTTCTAGTAGTGCACCGCAGGAGGTTGGTGGCACCTTAATTGGGGAGGACAGGCTTGTGGTAATGGTATCATGTGTTTGATGCCATTCCAATGACTCCGTTCCAGACCTTATTATGAGCCATCCTCCCCTGAGCAGCCTCCACTGTAGTGCACTGTATGGAATAGGGTGTCATTTGGGACGGCTTTGAGTGTGCAAAGGGATCAGTACTGGACCTAAATGAGGGACCTTTTTATTCCTCAGTTCTACTGGTGCTACAGCATGACATAAGACATAAAGAGATCTAATCCACCAGCCATAGGATCTCATCCAAAGTTTCTATAGATATGACTTCATAAAACATTATCATTGTTTAATTTTTGATTGATTTATGTTCCCTGAGATTGATTTTGTGCATTTTTCCAAAGCTTCAGAGCTACGGTTCTTCTTGTAATGAAATGATAGTGAATCATAGTTAAAAGGATATGAAAGTCCCTTCCCAGTGGGTTTGAACTTTTTAAAATCAATTTGTAAATGACTCATTAAATACGTAGTGACTAGGGTTGAATATTTTCCCAGTATTTTAGAAATGTTCCATCCCGAGAATAAATCACCTTTCTCCTGGGTAACCCGGTATTTCCCACCAAAACCGGAAGTGTAATTCAAAAGCATTATAAAGCATATATGTTTGGATTTGATTAGAGCTTTGATCAGCATGAAAATTCAAACCTGAATCTACCTGAGCCTGATGAGCCATATATGAAATACATTTTAAGAGCCCTACATTAACAACATTAAAGAGCCCAAGCCCAAAAAAGCCCAAATGATTGTGCCATTATCCAACACATGTATGATATAGGCTACTGCACATTATGCACGACAGAAAAACATAAAAGCCCATAGATGTAGCTAGCTATATGCTCTCTTGGGTAAATACATGAAAATAGCTCCAGTAGGCTAATCTTTTTGAGTGTGAACTGTGTTAATGTATTGTAATATACTGTATTATATGGACTGGAATTACGCACATCTTTGAAACCATGATAAAGCAGAAGAGAAAATGTGATTCTGGTGCAGCACATGCGGTCTACAAAGTTACAAGTATAGGCTAGCGAATTTGATTTGAATTTTGAAATATAATAGGGCCTATTTGTATAATTAGTGACACATATATTCAGTAGCAGTCAAATGTTGGACAAACCTACTCATTCAAGGGTTTTTCTTAATTTTTACAATTTCTTACATTGTAGAATAATAGTAAGACATCAAAACAATGAGATAACACATATGGAATCATGTAGTAACCAAAAAAGTGTTAAACAAATCAAAATATATTTTATATTTGAGATTTTTCAAATGGCCACCCTTTGCCTTGATGACAGCTTTGCACACTCTTGGCATTCTCTCAACCAGCTTCTTGAGGTAGTCCCCTGGAATGCATTTCAATTAACAGGTGTGCCTTCAAAAAAGTTAATTTGTGGAATTTATTTCCTTAATGCGTTTGATCCAATCAGTTGTGTTGTGACAAGGTAGGGGGAGTATACAGAAGATAGCCCTATTTGGTAAAAGACCAAGTCCATATTATGGCAAGAACAGCTCAAATAAGCAAAGAGAAACGACAGTCCATCATTACTTTAAGACATGAAGGTTAGTCAATACGGAACATTTCAAGAACTTTGAACGTTTCTTCAAGTGCAATCGCAAAAACCATCAAGCGCTATGATGATACTGGCTCTCATGAGGACCGCCACAGGAATGGAAGACCCAGAGTTACCTCTGCTGCAGAGGATAAGTTCATTCGAGTTACCAGCCTTAGATTGCAGCCCAAATAAATGCTTAACAGAGTTCAAGTCAAAGACACATCTCAACATCAACTGTTCAGAGGGGACTGTGGGAATCAGGCCTTCATGGTCGAATTGCTGCAAAGAAACCACTACTAAAGGACACCAATAAGAAGAAGAGACCTGCTTGGGCCAAGAAACACGAGCAATGGACATTAGACCGGTGGAAAGTTGTCCTGAGATTTTTGGTTCCAACCGCCGTGTCTTTGTGAGACGCGGTGTGGGTGAACAGATGATTTCCGCATGTGTAGTTCCCACCGTAAAGCATGGAGGAGGTGTTATGGTGTGGGGGTGCTTTGCTGGTGACACTGTCTGTGAATTCAAGGCACACCTAACCAGCATGGCTATCACAGCATTCTGCAGTGATATGTCATCCCATCTGGTTTGGGCTTAGTGGGACTATCATTTGTTTTTCAACAGGACAATTACCCAACCCACCTCCAGGCTGTGTTAGGGCTATTTTTCCAAGAAGGAGAGTGATGGAGTGCTGCATCAGATGACCTGGCCTCCACAATCCCCCGACCTCAACCCAATTGAGTTGGTTTGGGATGAGTCAGAGTGAAGGAAAAGCAGCCAACAAGTGCTCAGCATATGTGGGAACTCCTTCAAGACTTTTGGAAAAGCATTCCAGGTGAAGCTGGTTGAGAGAATGCCAAGAATGTGCTAAGCTGTCGTCAAGGCAAAGGGTGGCTATTTGAAGAATCTCAAATATAAAATATATTTTGATTTGTTAAAAAAAAAAATTGGTTACATGATTCCATATGTGTTAATTCAATGTAGAAAATAGTAAAAATAAAGAAAACCCTTGAATGAGTAGGTGTCCAAACTTTTGACTGGTACTGTGTATATATTTATACAATGCCTTGCAAAAGTATTCATCCCCCTTGGCGTTTTCCCTATTTTGTTGCATTACAACCTGTAATTTAAATTGATTTTTATTTGGATTTCATGTTTTGGACATACACAAAATAGTCCAAATTGGTGAAGTGAAATGGAAAAAATTACTTGTTTCAAAGAATTCTAAAAAATAAATAATGTAAAAGTGGTGCATGCATATGTATTCACCTCCTTTGCTATGAAGCCCCTAAATAAGATCTGGTGCAACCAATTACCTTCCGAAGTCACATAATTAGTTAAATAAAGTCCACCTGTGTGCAATCTACGTGTCACATGATCTGTCACATGATCTCAGTATATATACAACTGTTCTGAGAGGCCCCAGAGTCTGCAACACCACTAAGCAAGGGGCACCACCATGCATGCGGCACCATGAAGACCAAGGAGCTCTCCAAACAGGTCAGGGACAAAGTTGTGGAGAAGTACAGATCAGGGTTGGGTTATAAAAAAATATCAGACACTTTGAACATCCCACGGAGCACCATTTAAATCCATTATGAAAAAATTGAAAAAATATGACACCACAACAAACCTGCCAAGAGAGGGCCGCCCAACAAAACTCACGGCCCAGGCAAGGAGGGCATTAATCAAAGAGACCAAAGATAACCCTGAAGGAGCTGCAAAGCTCCACAGCGGAGATTGGAGTATCTGTCCATAGGACCACTTTAAGCTGTAAACTCCACAGAGTTGGGGTTTACAGAAGAGTGGCCAGAAAAAAGCCATTGCTTAAAGAAAAAAATAAGCAAACACGTTTGGTGTTCGCCAAAAGGCATGTGGGAGAATCCCCAAAATATATGGAAGAAGGTACTCTGGTCAGATGAGACTAAAATTGAGCTTTTTGGCCATCAAGGAAAACGCTATGTCTGGCGCAAACCCAACACCTCTCATCACCCCGAGAACACCATCCCCACAGTGAAGCATGGTGGTGGCAACATCATGCTGTGGGGATGTTTTTCATCAGCAGGGACTGGGAAACTGGTCAGAATTGAAGGAATGATGGTGGTAGGCATGTTGTGTACATCAAATGATACAAACCCCAAAAAAATCCATTTTAATTCCAGGTTGTAAGGCAACAAAATAGGAAAAATGCCAAGGGGGGGTGAATACTTTCGCAAGCCACTATTTATATCTTTCATAATATTTCCCCTAATGTTATTATCCTCTTTCTCTGTTGCTTCATTGCTTCCTCTCTTTCAACAATTAAATGAAATATGTTTTGTTGTCCTTATCTTCATCATTCTAATGACATCCTTGAATAATATAGGACTAGAATTAGATGCAACAGGCTTTCACTTCGCTTCACCAAGATTGAATGGTTATGGGTCTGAATAAATAACTGCTATAGCCTGCCACCATCGCGAGTTCGCTCATCTTTCAAACTACCCATGAGTTCTAGTGGCTGCTGTATTTAACATTCAGCAAAAAAAGAGCTTGCGCCCCTCTTCGAATTGTCTATTGGTATAAGAAATGCAACAAACAAACAAAAATCCAGAAAGCTATTCTAGTCCAGCTTTTCCTGCATGGGACTCCAAGAGCTAAGGAGTGTTTTTTAAGGAGAGGCTAGCGGAGCTCGGGTGCTTGCGTATTGCACAAGAGATAGAGGCTATAAGTTAGAATCTTATTATGCATCACCCACTAATACTGCATTTAATTTATTACCTGAAAGAGGTAGGCTACAACATCTAATAATAGGGCTATATATCAATCTAGAACAGGATTATCTATTTTGGATGGAGTTGATGGAGAGCAAGAGCGAGACTGCGAGAGAGTGCTCGCGCGTGCACTGATTTAAATTATATTCAAGTGATAGGCCGTTTTAAAACAATAATTATCTTTACAATTTAAAAAACAAGGTGACCCCTGAAAGCCAGAAGGAGATGGGTAAATTAGACACGCATTCGGTCTTTACATTACTGTAGCATAGGCTATGCTGCAGCAAATGTAGTCCTACCTGTCACAAGAAAAAAAGTTACCTTGATGAGATGCTAGGTCTACGTGCATTGTGAACTGCGCTCCGTAGAGAAGCCAGATTTAAACATTGCATATAATTTAACAGTTCCATT